GTGATTTAATTTCCACAAGACATTTGTCCCTAATTGCTAGTCATGGATGGTAATTAGTGACTATTAATTCCTGATAATTAACAAGCTAATACTTAGAGGTAATGGCACCTGGGTAATCATCTTAAAAGGCTCAAAGCTGCCGTGCTTTCGAGGCCCCAAGCTCCAAAGGATGACACTACATTTCAGCATCTCTCCCCTGGGAGCTGGGACTGCGTTTTGTTTACCAGGGCAGTGATTGGAGAATTGACAAATCTAGCCTTTAGTTTTCTTCTCTGAATTTAAAAATAATACGTATTCTGTTTGAAGCTTTGTTGAGCCCAGAAAAGTATAGAGGAAATCAAATATATATAACCTTATTACCTGGAAACATCCACGGTCAATGTTTTGGTTTATTTCTTCCCAGTCTGTGAATTTTTTTTCACAGTAGAGTTTGTGTTAAATATGTGCTTCCACATCCAGCTTTATTTGTGTAATATTACAACATAAACATCTTCCCTTATGGCAGCAACTTACCAAATATGCCTGCCTCCCCCAGCAGAAAAATCAAATAACTGTTGTAGAGAGGGGGGTGGAATTCATGGGAAAAGAAGGAACAGCGATGTGAAAGGAAAGACTTGAGCATGATTAGGTGGGAACAGGGAATTCATTCTAGAGTGGAGGATCTTTGTGGGGACTCCTGTCCCTGCCCCCACTAACTGAGGACATTGGGTAGAAAAATATGTGCACAGTTACATAAGAAGAAAGACTGGAAGGCAGTGACCTAAGATGTTAATAATGGTGTTGATTTCAGCGTGGGGTGGCGCCAGTCATTTTCATCTTCTGCCTTACGATTTTTCCGTGCAGCACAGAGAAAAAAGCACTGAATCAGCCTTCCAACTCTTTTCAGCACACACTCTTTTCCATCTACAGAACTGCCTGCGTGATTGCAGGTTAAGTCTCCCCTCTGGGCCTTGATTTCTTTCTGTGTGGTGTGAGGGAAATATTAGTCCTCCTTCCCTAAGAGGTGCTGAGTGAGAACGCACCTCCAGGAAATCGATATGAAAAGATACGCCCAGGTGACTCCCGTCAGTAAGCCCAGTAGGATCAAGAAACAGATCTTGAGTAGCACTTGGCCATTGGCAAAGACAGTCTTCCAAAATTCTGTGTCACGTACGTGTCTGGATTCCCTAGTGGCCCACCCTGGGGGTGCCTCTTCATCCCAACACTTCTTGAACCTGTTTATTTCTTCTGTAGGGAGGCAGTGTAGCTGCCACACAGACTTTGGACTGAGACCTGGGTTTAAATCCTCAGTCTGCCACGCACCCGTGATGTCTGGAGGCTGCTTAGCATCTCTAAGCCTCAGTTTCCGCATCCATGAAATGGGGCCAGTACTCCCTACTGATGGGGTGGTTGTGAGGTCCTAATGAGATACTGTACCGTAAAGGGCTCTTCAGTACTCAGTCAACGATGATTGATTTACAAATAAAAAATATTTCCTAATTGAAGTGTAAATTCAACTGCTTAATGAGTGAGGTTGTTATCTTCCGCTCTGTGTGGAGTTCCATAAATGGGTTCCCTGCTCTGGAAAGGGACTTTTTGGTTTTCCCAAGCTCACTCCAGGCTTCAAGCTTGGCTATTATAGAGTTTGGCAGGTTGGGTCAACTTGGGCCTTTTCTTTTATTTCTTGCTTTTACAGATTCAGATCCAATCTTCTCCCCAGTTTCACCTTCCCAAATCTCCAAGATCTGAATCTTTTCTGTCTGACAAGCTTACCATTAAAACTGGCTGTTCAGCTCTGACCGGCGCTAGCTGTTGTATTTAGAAGCCCTGATCTGTCGACTCTGCAAAACCAGGGGCTTTGCCCGTTGTTGGCTAATAGCAATGCCTTACACCAGGCTTGGGCGTCAGGTTTTGCAAAGCACGTCCACCTCTGCTGTTGCATTTACTCTCCCAGCAGTTTTGCTCTGTTATTCTTCAAGGGGGGACAGCACTGTCCCCTAAGTGGATTTCACAGAACGAAATACCACTGTGTGGTCACGTAAGTTTGGAAAACACTGGGATGAGCCAAGCTAAACAGACTTTTCAAGCCTTTAACCTGTAACTGTGCAGTGCGATTCTTCAAGATCTAGATGCAGTGTTTCCACAAGATTTTTTTTCACCAGAGTCCCTTTTGCTAGAATATTCCATGGAAGTTTTGCCCCATGGACCCTCATTTGGAAAGGTCTCAAGACTGAGGCAGGATGAAGTTTAAATGTAGGCACCACCATTTGCTGGCTGAGTGATCTCGGGCGAGTTTCTCAACCTCTCTGAATCTCAGTTTGCTTACCCATAAAACGGGGGTGATAAGAAGGTTGTAAAGATTAAAATGAAGTGCTGAGCAGAGTGCAATGATAAACATTCAATGTAATTTAGCTTTTATTATTATCCTCTTCCTCTAGGTTACCTGGGAGAGGAATGGATCCCAGAAAGGCAAATTTCCCAACGTTGCACAGTTACTTAGTGAGAGAGCCAAGAATTAGGTCCAGGTGTCCTGACTCTCAGTTCAAGGCTCTTCGCCGCTTATGGGGCTGTTACTCTCATTCAGGCAACTTACCCGTTTGTTCTTCTCTCCTTCCCTTACCTCCATTCCTTCTGGCAGACATTGGGGTTTCGTGAGCCTCAAATATAAGTGAAAGTACTTAGGACACTGCTAGAAAAACCCTAATGATCATGACCCGTGTCATTACCCATCCCAGCAGTCCATGTAGTTGATTCCCAGAGGCACCTCCAGACAGCCTGCCCTGCCACCCCTCACGTCCTCCTCGGGACCCAAGGTTCCACCGGTTGTAATACTGCCCATGCTGGTGTCATGGTCGTGATGCAGTCATTTCATGCTTTTCTGGCTTGTGAACTCTGACAGTGCTTCTGATTCCTTCGCTTCTGCCATGGCCGCCATCACAGGGCACCTCACACCGTAGGTGCTGTATGAGATATTTGTAACCCAGTCAGGGCCCAAGCTATCCAGCTGCGCCTCCCCCACCACTGCATGCAGAATGGCTTGGCTTAGTGGGGAGGGCTGGCTGTTTTGCAGTTTATTTTCCCCTTCTTTGTCAAAGTCAGTGCAGGAGGGTTGGGCTTGGATTAAACCCCTGTGCTCTCCAGCCTGGTGGACTGGTAGGTGCGTGCCTTTGCTTCCAGGCACTCACATGCCTCCAGGAAGCCGGCACGGGGGTCATTCTCTCCCTTGTCAGCTGATAGAGCAGGGTTGGTGCTGTGGAATCTAGGCCAGGATGTGCCTTCTTCTTGCAAAGAGCACCCATTTTCCTCCCCTTCCATCTTTTCCCTGCCCTTCCAGCAAGCTCAGACTCTGCAGACGAATCAATCATCGTGAGTGTGGTTTCTGTCCCCTTTAAGCTGGCTGAGCCGAGAGCCACCTGTTCCTCAGCTGAGATTCGATGCCGTGCCTGGGGGAGGGCTTCTGGGCCACCCCTGGGGCCCCGAGGGTGATGGCCTGAGCCTTCCCATCACAGGTGCTGTGGCACCTGACTCTTCCCTGAACATTAACATCCTGTTGCAAAATTTCTGACTTTGCATTATTGCAAGGGGCCAGTGAAAGTTGCTCCCAGCCTGGCAACATTTGTTGCAAGCATGACCGGCTTAAGGGAGATTCCCCAGACCCTGCCCTCTTCTAGAAATAGCTCTGCTGTTTCACTTAGCCCCACTGGGTGACCCTCTTCTGGGCTCTGACCATATCTTGAGCTTTCCTGGCCACAGCAGTCACGACACTGTACCGTAGTCACCTGTTTGCTTGCCACAGTGCTCCTGGGACTTCAGCAGGTATACGACTCACCTGGATCGTGTTAAAATGCAGCTTCTGACTTAGAAAGTCAGAGGGGCCTGGGATTCTGCATTTCTACCACGCTTCTGGGGGATGTGGATGCTGCTGGTCCAATGGCCACACTTCAAACAGCAAAGGGCAATCCTCAGCCTGAGCTGCAATTAGAACCACTGGGAGCAGAACGATGCCACTGCCCTGACACGAGCCCAGTTACATCTGAATCTCTCAGACAGGCACCCGGGCATTAAGGACTTTTAGACACTGCCCGGGTGATTCCAGATTCCAGCCAGAGCTCAGAAGCTCTGAGCTGGGCTGTGGGCTCTGTGGGGCGGCATCTGCTTGCCTTACTCCTCACTTTTCCCAGCTCCATCTCTGAGCCCAGGGCTTGGCCCAGGCAGGTATCAGTAGGTGTGCATGTGGCTCACCTTGTGTCGGCTCTGTGGCTGGCTCAGAGCTGGCTCCTGCCAACACCGCATGCTGGGCAGGCACGAGTCAGACAATGAGGTGGGTTTGAACATGGCCTGTTGAACATGGCCTGGGGTGTGGCTTCTTTCCCATGACCCACCCGGGTCTGCAGCTGATCAGAATCCACGAGGAAGACACCTTCCTGGAGGCCTGCCCTCTTTACCCCTCAGCCTCTCCCCCAGACTCCTGCCACTTCCTTGCCTGGGCCCCGCTGCTCTCTGCCAGGATGCACTCATGTTCAGAGTCCCTCTCATCCCAGGGAAGCCCACCCCAGCAGAGTTCATGCCTCCATCCCTCCTCCCTGCCCGCCCCCCACCGGGCTCTTGGGCAGATCTCTCCCACAGCCCCCACCAAGCTGCATTCCCGGCTGCCTTGAGGGTGCCTTTGTCTTCTAGATGGGAACTCTTTGAGGCCAAGGATAACGTCAGGTTCATCCTTTTGTCTCCCCTGTCGGGCACAATGGGTTGCTGAATGAATGAGTGAATGAATGGCATTATCCAGCCAGGGGGTCTCCCAGAGAGAACCAGGCAGCCCCTTGCAGTGGCCTGTCAAGAAAGCTGTGAATTTCTAGTGGGGAGGAGGTGGCACCATGGCCTGACATCCAGGGAGCTGGCCTGTTGGTTTTCAGTCATCTATTTGGCCTGGCCCGGCTGACTCAGTTACCCTCCAAAGGCCCCTCACCGTGGCCTCCTCAGAACCTTGGCTGCTACTGCCTGCTCACCGTCTCTTCTGCCCCCAGAGCCCACTCACCGCGGCTGGCACCGCGGCTGCGGGCCGCACGCTGACCGTCGGGAAGATGAGTGCCTGCGGAAGGAAGGCCCTGACCCTGCTGAGCAGCGTCTTTGCCGTGTGTGGCCTGGGCCTCCTGGGCATCGCCGTCAGCACCGACTACTGGCTGTACCTGGAGGAGGGCGTGGTCCTGCCCCAGAACCAGAGCACCGAGATCAAGATGTCCCTGCACTCTGGCCTCTGGAGAGTCTGCTTCCTTGCAGGTAAGGGTGCCTGGGGTTGGGGACAGCCCTTCCCCGCCACCCCAAGAGAGCAGCAACCGCCACCAGGAAAACCTGCCTATGAGACCCCCCCCCCGGGGGAGAGATGTCCCTGCTAGGAGGAGGCAGTTCACACCGCGTGAGTCTCATGAACTCCGGGCAGCACTCCCGCCAACGCTCCTGCCAGCGATCAGGACCCAGTCCAAACTCCAGCCCCAGTGTTTGATGTCCATTTAGGCAAGTCCTCTCATCTCCTGGGACCTGGGTCTTCCCACCTGAAAGGGGAACGTGACCCCGGCTTCCCCACGCTCCATGCCCCGGCTGTGAGGCAGCCGTCGCACAGGTCCAACGCCCTTGCACGCCTCAGCTCGCTGAATCGTGGGCCTCAGTGTCTCCCCACGGCACTGCAAGGCAGGACCTGTTACCATGTCCGCTTTACAGACGAGGAGATGAGGACTCAGGGAGGTGCAGTCCCAGCATGGGCACGTTCTGGCGAGGGCCCTCTTCCTGCTCCGTAGCCAGCACCTTCTCGCTGTGTCCTCACGTGGCGGCAGGGGCGAGGGAGCTCTGTGGGATCTCTTTTATCAGGGCCTTAAACCCATTCATGACGGCCCCACCCTCATGACTTGAACACATCCCAAAGGCCCCAACTCCAAGTACCATCTCCTTGACTCAGTGCCACTTGTCTCCACTCATTGGCAGGATGGGAAACACTTAGCACTTTCGCTGTTCCTGTGTCCGTGACATGGCAGAGAGAAAACACAAGTGCAGGCCTTCCCGGCAAGATGGTGTGGGTTTGGACTCCACCCATCTGGGCCTCCCACCCGCTTGCTAGGTCTTCTCTGGACCCCTTGGAGTTGCTACTCCAAGTGCTCTGTCCTTATCCGCTCCTGTGGCCCCAAACCAGCCTGCACAAGAAAAGCATCCCGCGCCCTGTAAGACTGGCCAGAAACACCGCAGGGTCGTGGGTCGCGGACCCCTTCTTGGAGGGCTCTGAAACCGATGTGAGCACGGGGCAGAGGGAGCGCTTGGTCCTCCCAGCGTCATGGTCGGGCCCTGGGGGATGGGGTGGTGGTTGGTGCCCACCAGTGTTTAGCAGAGAGGACACCTCAAGGCCTAGCCTCCTGGCGACATGCTGAGTCTACTTTGGGAATGGCACCTGACACTGACCTCCCCTCCCACTGCCCTAAACTGTGTGTATCTGTCTCTGCTTAAATCTGAAGCAGAGTCTGAAGTCACCGCCAAAGTGGTTGACAAGGCTTTGGGGGTTCTGCTCCATGACACCCGCTCTGGGGACCCAAGCCAGCCATGTGCCGTCATCAGTGGAGTCTGTCCCAAAGTGACGAGTCGGCCACCAGACTTTGACTCCGTGTTGAGTTTGCAGTGCTGACTGCTTTGCACGTGACTCTTGGTGCTTCTCCAGGAAAGATATGTTGTCAGGATGGGCGCCCGCCCCCAGTGGGGGCCACCAGCCAGGGACAGGACCCCCTAGGGTTTGGATCCAGCCCAGGCATAAATACACAATGGGTCAAAGATCCTAGAAGCATCTGGAAATACCACTTGAATCTGCTAACTTCAAATCCATGTTCAAGGAGGAACTGGAAATGTAAGGGATGCTTGTCTCCACAGGCGAGGAGCGGGGCCGCTGCTTCACCATAGAGTATGTGATGCCCATGAACACCCAGCTGACCTCCGAGTCCACTGTCAACGTTCTAAGTAGGTGCCTCAGACTTTCCAGCCCAGGCCATGGGGTGGGCAGAGCAGAGCCGGGCAGAGGGGAGAGTCAGGGTGACCAGCTCGTTTCTCAAGAGCTCATGCCCTTAGACTCAGCTGGCTGTGCTGGCCTGAGCTCACCAGAGCCAGCTCTGCCACTTACTTACCCAGTGGTGGTGCCAGGTTGCTGGAGTCTCCCAGTGTTGTGACCTGAGCAAATGAGAAGGCATCTGGACCCTGTGTCTTCCTCCGTTTGGGCTGTTATAATGAAATACCACACACTGAGCAGCTTAGAGACAACAGAGATTTAATTTCTCTCAGCTCTGGAGATGAGAAGTTTGAGATCAAGGTGCCAGCGTGCTCACGTTTTGGTGAGGGCCCCCTCCCTGGTTCACAGCCGGTGCCTTCTTGCTGTGTCCTCACATGGAGGCAGGGATGAGGGAACTCTGAGGGGTCTCTTCTAAGGGCACTAATCCCATTCATGAGGGCTCCACCCTCATGACCTAAGTGCCTCCCAAAGACCCCCAACACCAAATACCATCACACAGGGTGCTAGGTTTATCAAAATGAATTTTGTGGGGGACACAAACATTCACACCATAGCACCCAGGGAACCGAAGCAAGCTCTCTGGTCCCCAGTGAGACTGACGTCACAGCCTTGCCTCACCAGAGCTGGTTCTGACCACCCGAGGAGGGGACGGAGACCAAGATGCCCATGCAGGGTGGGGGCTTTGGGGACCGGCTGGCAGGTACTACCAGGAACACTTGACTCACAGGGGTGAGCTGCGGGGAAGACACTTGAGGCTGACAGCGTCCTTTCCTCCCTTAATTAGAAATGATTCGCTCAGCCACACCGTTCCCTCTGGTCAGCCTCTTCTTCATGTTCATTGGGTTTATCCTGAGCAACATCGGACACATCCGTCCCCACAGGACCATCCTGGCCTTTGTCTCCGGCATCTTTTTCATCCTCTCTGGTAAGTCGTGTCATTTTCGTTCATGCACTCTGGACTTGTGACATTTGATTCCTAACCAGCTCTGCTCTGGGAAGTTCTGGTCACGGCGGTGAGTCAGTTCCTGGCACGGGACCAGCTGAGCCAGTGGTCCAGGCAGAACTGAGTCAGAGTGGAGGAGGCTGCTGATGACCGTGGGCCTGTCCCGCACCTCCGAGGAGCAGTGACCTGACCGGCCCCCTCACCGGGCAGAGCTGGGATTAGAACCCCGGGTCCTCCTCACTCTGCACCATCACCACCCCTCCTCCTTAGTTCCCACTGATGAGTATTCCTGTTTTTGAAGAGCTATGTCCTCATGTTTTTGCGTGAAAGAGAAAGACAATGTGCCTTTGGAATAATAGCCTCTTCACCTCCCAGACCTCTACCATCCCCTGGAGATCCCTAAATTCCCCTTCACTTTCCAGGGATGCCCTGTTCTCCATAGCCTGGGCCCATCCTGGTTCCTTCTTTATGGATCTGTCTTCCTGCGACTCCAGATTGTACTGCATCATTCATTCTTTCTTTCATTTATCCATGTGTTTATTCATTCATTTGTGATATCTGCCAGACCTTATCCTGGGAGCTGGAATCACTGTCTACTAGAAGGGCAGTGTAATAGGAGCTAGAAACAAGTGGACAGGAAACATGAACTCTGCAGTGAAAGAGGCTGTGACAGCGGTCAGCAAGGACTGCTGTGGGGGCCAGGAGCAGTGGCTGGAACTCAGACCAAGTGCCGGCCAGGGAGGACTCCAGGAGAAGGCGAGATGAAGGCTGAGTCGGAATTAGGTAAAGAGTGTGAGATTGGGGTGGGGTGGAGCCTGGAGGGAAGAGAGAGGATGAAGCTTTGGGGAGATGAAGCGTAATGATTCCTCCTTGCGGTGGGAGCACAAGGCGGGATGTGGTGAGAGGTGAGCCTGGGGAAGGTACCTGAGGTCGCCTTATGGATTTGGGACTTTGTGAGAAGCCTCAGGAGGATTTTAAGCTGAGGAATGGCATGACAGATTTGGATTTTGGAATGACCTCTCTGGGGAATGACAGGAGGGAGGGAAGCAAGACAGGGGGCAGAGAGAGTGGGTGAGAGGCTGTTTCAATAGTACAGGAGAGGGGATGGGGGCCCAGATTGAGGGGATGAGAGAAGAGAGAAATGAGAGGGTTCAAGGCCTGCCTGGGAGGTAGACTCAGTAGGAGTAGGACTAAGATTTCAGGGGAGAAGTCGAGGGCGAGTGCCAAGTTCTTGCTTGGACACTAGGTGGACGATGAGTTGCATCACTGACCTAGGGGTCATAGGAGGAGGAGCAGATCTGGAGCAGAGATCGTGAACTTAGAGTGGGAAATGCAAAGCCTGAGATGTCCACGTGACATCTGGAGGCAGAAGGCTGCTAGAGGTCAAGGTTTGGGGCTCATGGACTTCAAAAGATACCAAAGACAGCGGTGGAGCTATCAGCCTAGCGAGTAGGGGAGGGAACCACAGGGATGGGAGAGATCACTACAGGGAGTGTGGGGAGTGAGACAGGAAGGAAATGTGGTAAAGGAAGCTAGGCTCTTTCTCCCCTTCAAGGTGACCTGTGCAATTTCTTGAGGAATTTCTTTTGGAGATCAAGCCAAAGGCGTGGCTCTCAGGGCATGTATTTTAGGTGCCCTGGAGCCTTGGACTTGTTGATAAGAGAGGAATTATAGATGGAAGATGGGTAGAGGGATGGCCTGAATAATGGATGGATGGATGGAAAGAGAAGAGGATAAAGAGCTGCTGGGCACCAGGCATTCTGACTGCCCCCTGACTCCCAAGCGACTTTAGGTTCCTTTCCCCAACATTTTCTTGTCAGTATAGCTTGGGAGCCAGGTGGCATCAGAACACCTGATGCCCAAGAGGTTTTCTGACTTTCTCCTTGCTTCCTTCCCATCCATCCATCCTTTCTTTCATTCATCTGTCCATCTTTTTTCAATCCACCCTGCTACCCATCTTCCATCCATTCTTCCATCTATTAATCCATTCATCCATCCTTCCACCCATCAATCCAACAAATATTTACTGAGCACCTGCAACGTCCTCAGCCCACCCTCTGCATGGTTGTGTTTCCACCGAATCCAGGAGGTACAGACAGGGTTAAGCTCTTCCCTGATCTTTCTATGGATTTCACACTAGTCAAGGCTACACAGTAGCTTTGAAGCACCTGAGGTCTTTTCAGCCGTGGGCAACAGAATGAGAAATCTCAGGGGGAGCCGGGTCCCATGAAGCTGTTTTCATGAGAGCCATCGAGAGGGTTCACTTGGGCCAGCAATGATTCCAGCGTGAGTTAAGTGCCGGGGACGGCTTGAATCCCAGCTGTTTTCTTTTAACATTCATCCTTCAGAATTCCCTCATTTAATCATGGGAATGGAATTACACCCTAACAGTGCAAAACAGAGTAATGAATTACGTCCTGATTCAATTACAGTCAGTAATTGATGAGATGGATGCCTGAATCGGTCATTTGCACAATGGCAGCAGGAGTTTGGGTGCCACTGGCCTCCTGATTGGACACTTTTCAGAACCTGGATGAACCCTCTTTATCTCTCCTGCACACCCGTGGTGGGTGGGCTGCACCGGCCATGGACCACATGGTCTCCATGGACCACATGGTCTCCATGGTCACGTGACCATCTATCCTGGGACTGGAGACCCTGGCTGAAGAGCCTGTTGCTCCTCAGTTTGGCAAAAGTCACTTGCTAACTTAGTGGTTCTCACCCTTAGTTCACATTAGCGTTGCCTGGGGAGCTTTCAAGGCAGTACAGTGCCCAGGCCGGGCCCAGGCCACGGGACTCAGCATGTCTGGGGGCGGGGCTTGTGGCATGGACGTCTGACAGGTGATTCTAGTGGGCAGGCGGGGTGAGGACCATCGGGCTCCCCGTGGCTCAGAAGGTGGCTGGACAGGGAGCTTTCTTACCTGCAGCTGTCCGCTTTCTAGAAGGGAATGGTCTAAAGAGAGTCCTCAGGAGAAGAACTCTGGCTCCCCTTGAACTCCAGAATGAGTTCGCGGTCCCCACAAGGCTGGTGGCTTCCTCCCTGAACCGCAGGAGGCGGGGGTGGGGGGGTGCCCGGCCGCAAACTCCCCAGGCCTCTGCGCTGAGCCCCCGCTGTCCGGCCAGGCCTGTCTCTCGTGGTGGGGCTGGTGCTCTACATCTCCAGCATCAACGACGAGATGCTGAACAGGACCAAGGACACAGAGACCTATTTCAACTACAAGTACGGCTGGTCGTTCGCCTTCGCTGCCATCTCCTTCCTTCTAACAGAGGTAAACCCCTTCCAACAGGTGGAGGGGGTATGGGGAGTTGGGCACTGCCCGGGCTGAGCGGGGAGGAGGGAGAGGCTCCGTGCCTCCTGGACCCGCCCACTCCACTGCCCTTCATCCCAAGATTCTGTCACACTCCTCCCTGGGACATCCCCCAGCCGCATCCCTTCGTCCCCACTGCGTCTGCTCTCCTGGCGGTGTCCAAGGCCAGCCCCGCCAGCAGCCAGCTCTCCTCTGCTCTCTCTTCACCGCAGAGTGCCGGGGTGATGTCCGTGTACCTGTTCATGAAGAGGTACACCGCCGATGACATGTACAGGCCTCACCCCGGCTTCTACCGCCCGCGTCTCAGCAACTGTTCTGACTACTCAGGCCAGTTCCTACACCCGGACGCCTGGGTCCGGGGCCGCAGCCCCTCCGACATCTCCAGCGATGCCTCCCTGCAGATGAACAGCAACTACCCAGCCTTGCTCAAGTGCCCTGACTATGACCAGATGTCCTCTTCCCCATGCTGAGGCTCGCCGCCACCTCCCTCCATGGACTACGGATGGCCAGGCAGCCTTCCCATGCTCCCCTGTCGGTCTGTGAGCCCTAGGCCCTTGGTTGACAGGCCCAGGCTGCCCCATGCTTAGCTGTTGTCATTTGACCCCTGTCCTCTCCCTGCTTCCCCTAGAGTAGGTCCAACTACCACAGGATGGATATCAGGAGCCTGGAACCAGCGAGCAAGCTGATTGGCTGAGAGCATGGGTGTAGCCCCACCCCCTTGAGTGCCAATCACTCCAGCAGCTCTCTCCTTTCCTGGGAGAGGTGGGTGTGACGGCTATGAATTCATCCCCGCACACCCAGCTTCATGGTCCCGGCCAAGGCCAGCTCCGAGATGCCAAGACCCTTAAAGAGACCCAGCTGGACTTGGGTACTGGCCCTCACGTTCATGATCTGGGCCATTGGGCCAAAAGGTGACTCTGATGTGAGGTCTGACTGGTTCAGCATCGTCAAGCAGTGTTCCTCGTGAAATCCTTTCTCCTTTCTTGTCACCCACATCCCTGCATACAACATGCCTGTCTGTGCTCTCCACCTCCCCTCTGCCCCACAGCCTGTGAATCTGTTTCCTTCTTCTCCCGGTAGAACTCAGCTGCCCCAGCCTCTGTCCCTAAGGGGCTAAGGGTGGGTCTGAGGCCACTCTCATGAGTCACAAAGAAGTGTTAATGGCTGATGATGTCTTAATATGACTGGCCCCTTGATAACAGATTTAACGGGTCTTTCATGCCTTAACCCAAAGAGGTGACTCTGACCATGAGAATTTCAAAATTTGGCTGGTCCTAGTTAATGTTACCAAGCACTGTTTCAGGCGCTAGAGATACTGTCCCTGCTCCATGAGCACTATTTTCAGTCCAAAACCCTGAAATATAATCATGTAGACAGATGTCTTTACCACCTAAGGAGAAGGCAGCTTTGAAAGAGGCTGCCTGGGACTGGGAGCTGGATTTGCTGACACCTGAGTCTGAACAAGCCAGACTCAGAATGATCCAGCTGCTCTCCTGAGGATGCCTGTCAGCATTTGGGGTTTGCCAACTTAATCCTGATACAGGGTAGCGTCTGCTCCCTGGGTATGGGGCATACAGATTCCCCAGAAGACGAGGTGGCGTGATGCCCATTTTCCTGGTAAGAAACCTGAGCTGGGAGGTATGTAGCACCTGCCATGAAGTTCAGAGGGAAACTGGTGAAAGGACCACGGCAGGACGGGACCCCCCTCAGATCTCCAAGCATCTTCTCAGCATTCCCACTTTTGGATTGGAGGTTTTGAGTAACAGAACAGCGCTGGGCTCTCCGCCGTGTGTTTCTGCCATGCCAGCTTTTCTCCCTTTCTCTTGCTCTCTTTAAGACAAGTTCTCGGCACAAAAAGCCACCGTGGGCAACACATGGGCTCTGGAAAGAAATACAGAAAACTGCATTTCTGGCCCAGGCAGACTTCGGAAGGGCAAGGCATTCATTTGCTTGGGCTTCCACGGGCTGGCAGGCTTAAACCACAGGCATTTATTTTCTCACAGTTCTGGACGCCGGAAGTCCGAGATCCAGGGGGCAGCTGATTTGATTTCTCTGAGGCCATTCTCCTTGGCTTGCAGATGGCTGTCTTCTCAACGTGTCTCCACATCGTTTTTTGTTTGTTTGTTTTTTCCTGCCTGCGTGCATGCGTGCCCCTGGTGCCCACATACCCTCGTATAAGGACACCCGTCAGCTTGGCTAAGAACCCTCCCTGATGCTTCATTCTGACTTCATCACCTCCTTAAAGGCCCCATCTCCAAACACAGCCATATTCCAAGCGTGGAGGGGAGGGTCCCAACATGTGAACATGGGGCACGTGGGGGGCACAGTTCAGCCCAGACCAGGCAGGCTGCTTCGCCTCTGGAGTATTCTGCTGAGAGTGGAGGAGACATGAGAGATGTGGACTCTGGTCCTTGTTCTGCCACTATCTCAGCATGGATCCTTGGGCAACGCCTTTCTGCTCTGAGGGACTCGGCCTAAACTATTTCCAAGCTCCCCTCCCTGCCCCAACTCTAACGATTCAGCCTCATGGAGAAGCACCACGTGGCCCCCACATGTGACTTTTCACCCCCTGTCTATCCCCAACTTCCACTCCGTCGGTACCTGCCGTGACTTGTACTCCCTGGTTCCCATTTATAGATTAATACGGAAACCACATTCTTCCCCGTGGCAAAGGACTCACTGAGTGTCCTTGGAGACCATTAGGTAGCATTTCCAAATTGGACAGTTGTTCAGATGTGCTCAACTCCAATTTTTGTCAATGTAATTAGCTCCTCAAATGCACTGTTCTCTCCCTAAAGCACTTTTTCTCTGTCACTGTACCAGGTTTGTTTTTGTGCACATGGAAAAAAATAGAATCCACTCCTGAACAAAGCTGATTGTCGACTGTGACATCATTCGGGTGGGTCTTTGTCGTCCAGCTGAGACAGGCAGCTCCCACCCTGGGAATGTGCGATTTACACGTATCTTAGGAACAGGTTCTGGATCCTTGTCTTCCTTCCTGGGGGATGGGTGAATGTGTCACTTCCTGTGCAATGGTGACAGTTTCTTTTCTGTCTATAAGCTGAGAACTGGGGCCTCTTGGCAGCCCCTCCACAATCAAGATTTTATCAAACACTGAAGTGTATAACCTCAACTCAGAAGCCATTAATTAGGACACCTTCCCCAATACATTTTCTGAGCTTTTATTTCCCCAGGAGGAAAAAAAAGACTGACGATTTTTTATTTTTTCACCCTCAAAATATGGGAGGGAGACATTAATACACCAAAGTCTGATGAATTATGGAAGAAAACCAATTGGGGTTACCAGCCGGGTGGTTCAAACAATTCTGACAATTGTTCCCTCTCTCCTGGAACTCACCAGCCTCTTTCTTGCTCCAGGGGTTAGTCAGTGATGTCCGCCTCCTCCACGACAGACACTCAGAGAAGACCTTCAATGAAATGATCTGTTATCAGGGCTGCACGGAGTTGAGGGGGAGCAGTTGGGGCAGCACCACACCAGTGTATCAGTGATGTTCCTGAGGACTGTATGGCAGGGAGCCCTTCTATTAATGTTTGGGTAACTATCCTTCATCCCTAAACAAAAGTAGCATATTAGGGTTCACCAGAGAAACAGAACCAGCAGAATGTACATATAGAGAGGTTTATTTTAAAGAACTGGCTCCTGTGATGGTGGAGGCTTGGCAAATCCAAAAATCTGTCCCCTGGGGAGGTCAGCAGGTGGAAACTGAGGGAAGAGTTGCAGTTTGAGGTGGAAGGCTGTCTGCCAACAGATTTCCTTCTTGCTTGGGGGAGGTCAATCTTTGTTCTGCTTAAGCTTTCAACTGATTGGATGAGACCCACCACATTAAGGAGGGCAATCTGCTTTACTCAGAGTGCACTGATTTCAATGTTCATCACATCTGAAAAACACCTTCACAGAAACAGCCAGAACAGTATCTGGGTACCACGGCCCAACCAAGGTGACACATGCAGTTAACCAACACAAGTGGATAAAGGGAAAGGTGGGCAGGGGAAATAGCATTCCGCCTTGAGAACTGCAGGGCGGGTGGCGGGTGGCGGGTGGCGGGGGTGGGGGTGGGGGGAGTCAGCACAGCTATGCACAGTTGTGCATAGCCACAACAGGAGCACTGCTCCTTCACGGGCTGTCCCTTGGGCTGAGGCCATCTGCTTGATGGCGGTGTGGGTCCCCTTTGCAGGACCCCCAGCCTTGACTTTCATCCCACACTCAAGGTTGGGGGACCTGCAAATGAGACCCACACCCTCATATGCTAATACGACCCTTGGGAAATTAATCAGCCTTTGGGACACACGTACTCTGTGTCGCGAGTGGGCACAAAAGTGGATGAATGAGTGGATTCTGCAGAACGCACTTGTGCTCAGGCCCAGACAGGCCAGGACGCAGCCTGCCCTGTGCGTGTGAGCTCAGTCATGGTGGTGTGGCTCAGTGGCTGCCACCTGCAGCACCAGTACTCCCGGCTGTAGCCCCTCCCCTTCCGGCAGGATAAGGTCTCTGGATTCCCACATACCCCTGTGCTGGGATCCTAGACCTCTGCTCTGTGACCTTGGACAGGACACACCCTCCCAGGGCCCACCTCACGTGTACGTCAGGCTTGATCTCCCTGTCTGTTCTGGAGCAAAGACTTTCTGCTTGGGGGGCCCTGCCCTTGGGTCTTCCATACAACAGGCCCTCTGCCCTGCTCGTTCCAGGACGAGCAACAGATAGACGACGTCCTACAAGGTCAGCTGTAGGTTTGGGGGAAAATGGATCCGCCATCTTGAATCAAGACACAGTTTTTCGCAAATGTCAGTTTAGACACTGTGACTCCAGCTTCAGCTCCAGCAGGGAGGCATCACAGATGTCCACATCATCAACACGCATACAGCCCCCTTCTTAGAGTGCTTGGCACGTAGTAGGTGCTTGGCAAGCACGATCTCATTTGACAGTCTCAGTTCTATGCGTAGGAAGACACTGAGCCCTAAGGATGGGTAGGGACTTGCTCACGATCACAGTCAGTAATATCTGCAGTGCTTGGCAAGTGCTGTCTCAAATGTTGTCTGCAGTTCTAAATGCCCAGTGTGGCCAAGGCACCCACTTCCATAATCAGAGAAATGGGTTCCATCCAAAGATAGATGGAGAAGGAAAGCTCTCATTAAACGGGAAAGAAAGGTGAGCTGTTGTTCCCCTGAAAGCTACTGATTAATCCCGTCTCCTTGTCTCCCCTCCCTACACATGATGCCAACTTGTGTAGGAAAAACTCACTGCTTCTCCCTTTACTCGCACACAATACCTCTGACACCAGATGTGTGGGTTTTTTCCCCCAACACCGAGCAATTCTTGGTGACACCAGCTGGGTGTGCTACAGTCCAATTCACAGCCGACACACAGACCCCACGGGTTCCTGGCTCAGTCCCAAGGGACTGCCCCCACTTCAGATGCCAATCCCAAGAAGTAGGTCCCCAGGTTACCCACAAGTTCTGTCCGACTTGGCTACAGATTAGAAGCTCCCATGACTCTTCCTTGGATCTGATTATTTGCTAGAATAGTACCCAGAACTCTAGGCAATACTGTCTTCCATTTACCAGTTTATTATATAATAAAGAATATGAAAAAGGATTTAGAGTAATAATCGGATGAAGCGATATATAGGGTGAGATCTGGAAGGGCGCTGAGCCCAGGGGACTCTGTCCCTTTGGAGTTGGCACGCACCACCCTCCCAGCACGGGGCTGTGTTCACCAACCTGGAAGGCCCTCCAAACCCTGTCCCTTAGAATTGTTACAGAGGCTTCGTCACTTAGGCGTGATCGATCATTAACTCAGCCTCCAGCCCCTCTCTCCTTCCTGGAGGCTGGAGGTGGTGGGTGGCTGAAAGTTCCAAGCTTCTGATCATGGCTTGGGGTTTCAGGTGACCAGCCCCGCAACCTGAAGCCATCCAGGAGCCCACCCAGAGTCACCTCATTAGAACAAAAGACACTCCTATCACCCAGGAAGTTCCAAGGCCTTTAGGAGCTCCGTGCCAGCAACTGGGGGCAGAGACCAATACATATATATTTTTTTCCATTTTCACACAAGCAATGTTGGAAATGGCTGCAGAGCAATTCCAGATTTTCTTGACTGAGGTCCAGTCAGGGGTGGACACTCACCACACTCTCCTTGCTTGCTGACACATGGAGGAAGGCTCAGCACGTGTGTGGACTGACAGGGGAGGCTGTGACCAGGGGTCACCTCTCGCATCCCAACAACCTGATCCAGGCAGAGTGCTGAGAAGTTGCGCTCAGACTTGGTCTCTGAATCCCATTTTCCTGGCTGAATCCCAGGGCACCATGAAGCAAGTGGCCAGTGGGGGTGCCGTGGGAGGTGAGACTCCGGCAGTCTCAGCCCATCAGCTGGCGAGGAGGAAGGAATGCTTCCGTTTGTTCAGCACAACATCTGAAGCACCGTATGTGTGAGTTTCCATCCTGGTGGCTGGCTGAGGTGCAAAGAAAAAAAGTGGAGTGTAAATGAATTTGCCTTCACCACACTTAAATGTGATGAGTGTCACCTTGTTTTTCTAAATCAGATGAAATCTCACTTTGAGCCCCTCAGCTTGGTGGTGGGAAATTCAATGTCCCCAAGGGCTGCTGAGAAATCCAGTGGGGAGTGGGTGCAGAGGCTCCCAGGCAGGTGGAAATCACAGCCCGACCCAGGGGAGGTGCGAGGGTCCTCAGAGAGGCAGGTGTCCAATGTCCTCAGAAATACCGCGCCAGCATCTCTCGAGGCCCCGCAAGGAACCCTGGTCCCCACGACCCCAGGAAACCACCAGTTACACTTTCTGACTCATTTTCTTCCCAGGCACGGGGGCTGTCCCCAGAGTGGGCACTCCTCCCTGACCTCTTCCAAGGACTTCCTTCCAACCTGCCCCCTCGGGAAGAGTCCATATGGCCCTTGTGCGTCCCTAGAGACACCGCGACGGCCTCTCTTTCCTGGCTTGGAGGCAGAGGAAAGAGGTGGGGAAAATAGTCAAAGTATTCTTACTAATTCACCCTGAGGACTTACCGACAATAATTGAATTAGTCCTACTTATTATTTTGGTTATTGCTACCATTTATTTGGTATCTACTATATGCCAGCTTCTACCCCAGGCAGTCCTACGTGATTTATTTATTTGTTCCAACCCTCAGAGCAGAGTCTGAGTTAATCATACTCTCCAGTTCGTGGTGCACAGCTGTCACTGGTCCGCGCAAGGCAGGGCTCTTGGTTTTTCATTCATTCATTCATTCACTCATTCGCTTTTTCCGCTCCCCTCCCACCGCGTGAGCAACCTTTCCCATGTGTTTAATAATGCAGCTTTTAGACATATGTGCTTCTTCAAGTGTGCACTGTTGATTTTTGCGTATGTGTTTTAATTTGAATAAATGGTACTGCCTGTTGTACGACATTCTTTTTCTCGCTTTTTCCATCAGCACTGCTTCATGGCGTTTCTGTTTTGTTCCGTGAACTTGTGGTCCATTGTTCTAACCACCGCCTAATACACCACAGTGGGCATCCACTGTCTTTTGCCTAAATCCCAGGGAGAAATCCCAGTGACAGACACCAGGAAAATGGGATTGGAAAGTCGGAGTCGTGAACTCATCTCCAAGCTCCAACCCTGATTCCTCCAGCAACTCCGCTTGGGTCAGGTTGCCTCTGACTCCCCACCACTCACAAACAGAGATGCTAAAATACAGCCATCGGTCTCCTCTACAGATCCGTGTGGCCATTTGGGGGGGATAAACCAAAAAGTGGAATGCATGCCTCACAGGATACGTGCGCACTTAATTTGACCACACAAATCCCTAACGTTACACTGTTTCTTCTGTAAACAGTTCACTGTGTATCTGCAAAGCTAGGATTC